AAAAAAAAAGATTGCTTTGGCTACTCGGACTTTTGTGGCTCTATACAATTTTTAGGATTATTTTTTCTAGTTCTATGAAAAATGCCATTGGTATTTTGATAGAGATTGCATTGAATCTGTAGATTGCTTTAGGGGGTATAGACATTTTAACAATATTAATCCTTCTAATCCATGAGCATGATATACCTTTCCATTTATTTGTGCCTTTTTCAGTTTTCCTTCATCAATGTCTTATAGTCTGCAGTGTAAAGTTCTCCTTGGTTAAATTTATTCCTATGTATTTTATTCTTTTTGATTCAATTGTAAATGGGATTATTTTCTTAATTTCTCTTTCTGATAGTTCATGAGTAGTGTATAGAAATGCAACAGATTTGTGTATATTATTTCTGTATTCTGCAACTTTACTGAATTCCCTCATTAGTTCTAATAGTTTTTTGGTGGAGTCTTTAGGGTTTTCTATATAGTATCATGTCTGCAAATAGTGACAGTTTTACTTCTTTTCTGACTTGGATGCCTTTTATCTCTTTATCTTGTCTGATAGCTGTTGCTAGGACTTCCAATAATATGTTGAATAAAAATGGTGAGAATGGTAGTGTCTGGGTCGTGCAGTCAGTTAAGCATCTGACACTTGGTTTCGGCTCAAGTCGTGATCTCAGGGTCATGAGATCAAGCCCTACATCAAGCTCCACACTCAGTGCAGAGTCTACTTAAAACTTTCTCTCCCTCTCCCTGTCTCCCCCGTCACCACTCTCTCAAATAAATAAATAAATAAATAAATAAATAAATAAATAAATAAGTCTAAGGGGAAAAAAATGGTGAGAATGGGCATCCTTGTCTTGTTCCTGATCTTAGAGGAAAAACTTTCAGCTTTTTACTATTGAGTATAATGTTAGCTGTGGGTTAGTTATTATAAATGGCTTTTATTATTTTGAGGTATTTTCCCTCTATGCCCCCCTTGTTGAGATTTTTTTATCATAAAAGGATGTTGAATTGTATCAAATGCTTTTTCTGCATCTATTGAGATGATAATGACTTTTATCTTTCATTTTATTAATGTGGTATATCATGTTGATTGATTTGTGTATATTGAAACATCCTTGCATCCCTGGAATAAGTCCCACTTGATCATGGTGTGTAATCCTTTTACTGTATTGTCAAATTTGGTTTGCTAATATTTTGTTGAGAATTTTTGTATCAGTGTTCATTGGGGATATTGGTCTGTAATTTGTGTGTGTGCATGTGGTGCCTTCCTCTGATTTTGGTATCAAGGTAATGCTGACCTCATAAAATGAGTTTGGAAGTCTTCCTTCCTCTTCAACTTTTTGGAATAGTTTGAGAAAAATAGGTATTAATTCTTCTTTAAATGTTCAGTAGAATTCACCCGTGAAGCCATCTTGTTCTGGACTTCTATTTGTTGGAAGTTTTTTGATTCCTGACTCTATTTGTTGGAAGTTTTTTGATTCCTGACTCAATCTCCTTACTAGTAGTCAGTCTGTTCAGATTTTCTATTTCTTCATGATTCGGTCTTAGAAGATTATATTTTTCTAGGAATTTATCCATCTCTTCTAGGTTGTCCCATTTGTTGGCATATAATTTTTCGTAGTAGTTTCTTACAATCCTTTGTATTTCTGTGGCGTCAGTTGTAACTTCTCTTTGATTTCTGATTTTATTTTATTTTTTTCTTAATGAGTCTGGCCAAAGATTTATCTACTTTGTTTTCTTTTCAAAGAACCAGCTCTTAGTTTCATTGATCTTTTCTATTTTTCTGTCTCTATTTCATTTATTTTGACTCTGATCTTTATTATTTCCATCCTTCTACTAACTTTGAGCTTTGTTCATTCTTTTTCTAGTTCCTTTGGGTTAAGTTTAGATTGTTTATTTGAGATTTTTCATAGCCAGAAAAATCTATGGCTATGGCTATGAACTTCCCTCTTAGGACTGCTTTTGCTGCATCCTATATATTTGGGGATGTTGTGCTTTCATTTTCATTTGTCTCAAGGTATTTTTTGATTTCCTCTTTGATTTCTTCATTGACCCATTGATTGTTTAGTAGCATGTTGTTTAGCCTCCATGTTTGTGTTTTTTTCTCGTTTTCTTCTTGGAATTGGTTTCTAGTATCAAAAAAGATTCTTGATATGATTTCGATCTTCTTAAATTTGTTGAGACTCATTTTGTGGCCTAACATGTGATCTATCCTGGAAAATGTTTCATGTGCACTTGAAAAGAATATGTATTCTGCTATTTGGGGATGGAATGCTCTATATGTATCTATAAAGTCTACAAACCCCAACTGGATGAGAATTCTCCCCCCATTATCCTCCCCACCTCCTTTTAGCCCTGAATTTTCCTTTGAGTTTTAGTATTATGGGTTTGATTCCTTTCCCAACCCATCTCCATCTCAGTTCAAGATCAGCCTGGGTCCTGGAAGATTCCTAACCTAGCAGCAGCCCCTAAGGTCACCTTCCTCCCCAAGGGAATGGTATGCAGCCATCTCAGCTCAGAGAGCCAATTCCACTAACGCTTTAAAAATTCAGCAACATCTCACAGCTCAGGGGTAGAGTGAGAAGTCAGGAAGAGTTCACACACCCAAGCAGCTAGAACCTGGTGAAAGTAGAAGCAGCTAGGGTAGAGGCTTCAACTGTTCTGCACGCAAAGCACAATAAGTGCTTGCAACCTAGACCATTTGCGGTTGCCCCGTCTCTACCTTAGCTGCAGCCCTGCAGAGCTGCTGCCCCACACTCTGGACTTGCAGCTGAGCAAAGGCATAGACAACTCAAGTCAAGAGATCTGTTGGAAAGAAAACAATAAGGGAAAATGTAGAAATGTTAACATCTTAAGGTGAGTGGATAAAATATCCATTTCCTATTTTACTTCCTCACCATGTCCACCTCTCCCAATCAACAGAGTCACATTAGAAGTGCCTGCCAGTGTTAGATTGTTTTCCCACTTCCTGTGAATCAGAGAATCTAGAGCACAAAAAGTTAGAAAGTTCACAATCTCCATTCCTGTCGGCAATAAGCACATTGAATTCTTCCCAGACTGTGTGGAACTTCTCACTTAAAGTCTTCCAGGAAAAACCTTACTGTCAGAAAGCGTATCTTGGTATTTTACCGAACCCTCCATGCTTCAGTTTAAACTCCCATATTCTGTCCTCAAAGAAGGTGAAGGTGTGTGGCCTCCTTCTCTGTTGAGGGCTCATTAAGTAGTTTCCAGATTGTATCTGTTAAAAGTGATGCTGCTATGAACATTCTTGTATATGTCTTTTGGTGTCAATATAAATGTATTTCTGCTTGGTGTGTACCTAGGAGTGAAAATGCTGGGTCATCGGGTATCTTTATGATTCATTTAGATTTTGTCATGCAGTTTTCCAAAGTGGTTGTACCAATTTACACTCCCACTGGAGGTGTACAAGAGTTCTAGCTGTTTTACATCCTCGCCAGCACTTGCCTGTCTACCTTGATAGTTTTAGTCATTCTCTTGGGGGAGGTAGTGGAGTTTCATTTAGTTTAAATTTGCATTTCCACAGGGATTTATGAAGTCAAGCTTCTTTTTCTATGTTCATTTGGCACTTGGATATCTGCTTTTGTAAATTACCTATTCAATTATTTTGCCCATTTTTCCAATGGGTTGTCTGTCTTTTTCTTACGGACTTCTAGAAAGTCTTATATTCTGGATATGGGTCCTTTCTCAGCCATGTGTATGGAAACTATCTTGTCACCCTGTGGCTTACCTGTTTACTCTCTTACTGGGCGATTTAAGGAACAGTTCTCAAAATAATAACCTGACAGTCTTAAAACCTCAGATTCAGAACTTCCAGCCCATTCTACTCCAACCTCATCAATCCCTGAGTGCCTCCTGAACTGATGGTCCTATGGACCATTTTCAGGATTCCACTTTTCCACCTCATTGCAGTGTACAGACACATTTCTCCTTGGATAGGAGGCAATTTTGGAGAACTGGAGGTCACTCAGGGTGGGGGATGGATGATCTTAGTGTTTGCAGAACTATGCTGCCTTCCAAGCTAAATGATGCTGAAATCACACAAATTCTGGCAGCCTCTGTATCTTTCCATAGCCTTGTCCCATCTTGGTTCATTAGCATGAGCTTTTCAAAACCACGGAGAATGTTCAAAAGTGCTTATTAGTAAATTACCTGACTCCTTCGGGCATCATGGTGAAGAAAGTTCACTTATGTAATACCCCTTCCACCAAAGAGGAAATATTATTTGAACTTTTAAAGTTTCTTCCCTACTTCCTCTATTTAGTGTATGAAGCAGTAACACCACCTACGTCATAGGGGTCACTCAACCACACCTGGGCCTGTGGCTTAGATGCTCTTCCCTCCACCCTGACTTTGCATCTGCCTTTATCTGGACCTATGTCCCTCCTCTGTGCCAGGCCAGGCCCCATGCTGCTCTGCAGAATTGTGCTGTTCTTCGGTAAGCTTTCCCTCTTGGGTACCAAAGACTGTAAGTCATTTATGGGACTTCTAATTTCACCTTTCTGGATTCAAGTGGGTTTTATGGCTAGAGCTTGAAATGAGTGTGTGCACATGGGTGTGCTTGACAGAGATGTGGTGTGGTGGGGGGCCTCCCTGATGTTTCCCACCCATTTTCCTTGGTCCTTGGAAGGGCAGGCTTTCAATGTATCAGAGCTAAATTAGGGAGGCAGAAAATCACATTGTGAGGCCCAGTGACATGTTTACCCTGTCAAATAAGATTAAATTACTCATCAGGCTGTCTCAAAAGGAAAATGAAGTTATAGAAGGAAAGAAGGCTTTGGGTAGGGGGTGGGCTGGAGGGATCAGGGAAATGGAAAAAGGCAGTTCTGTGCATTTTGCTCAGCAATAGGAAATGGGCTTTTACAGAAAGATATATTGTCATGAAGCCTCAGTGTTTTCTTAGAAGCAGTCAACCATGACCAGGCTTCTCATCTGGTCAAGAGGCTTTGCTCTGAGTGTCCAAAGCCCTTTACAAACTGGCCATCCCCCTTCTGCCTACGTCCTTTCTCTGTCAGGAATGAGGAGGAGGGTCTGTTTGGGTCTGACTGGTCCTTGGGGAAGGTCTGAAGGATCAAATCCATTCTCCCTGATCTATATCTCTCTCCTTGACCCACCTCCCCAGGGGCCAGTCACCCATGCCAGCGATGGAAAGCCTGCTCCTCCAATAGTAGAGAATTATGGGAGTGGGGAGAGGGTCACTAGACGCCCCAGACTCAACTCAGTCTCAGCCACTATTACCTTTTACACTTAGAAGGAACAAGTCTGGGTGAGTCACACTTGATGCTTGGGGACCCCAGAAAACCAGATGTGGAGGCTAGATGTGGAGGAACAGTTACCCTAAGTGCAGAGTTAGGGTATTTCCTCTTAGATGTGGGCAGAGACAAAGAAGAAAGCACTGGAGGCCTGCTTTGTAGTGTGTAATGTATCTCATCTAACCTTTAGAATCATAGGGTAGGTATTTTTCTATCCCTATTAAACAACTGAGGATACTGAGGTTCAAAGGTTATGAAACTTGCATAGAATTACCCTGCTAGCAAGAGCAAAACGGAGATGCAAACCCAAGTCCGTTGGTGCTTTCTCCATCCCACCGCGACACCTCCAGCAGGGCTGTGGTTGGGTTCTAATCAAGTAAGACTGGAAAATAAAATTCATTTCAAGTTCCTGGTGGGGTATGTTCACACAACGAATGGTGCCTATTACTATTATTGACTATCAGAGATTCAAGAGGCCAGGGGCCCTGACGCTGAACATGCTGGTACACAGCTATACACTAAAGGTGTATTTGAAGTTTAGGAGATGAACCTTAATTTTCTTCTGTGCCAGGACTGGAACCCAACTTCTGTAGACATACACGCCGCCTATGACAAGTATCTCAGAGCTCCCACAACACCACCACTCCCTAGCACCATGGAAGGCACAGCTTGGCAAAGCAGCATGCTCCAATGTCCTAGAGCTCAGTTATGAGCTAGTCCTTCATGCTTTGCTGAAACCTGCCTCCCTGGTCTCTCTCATTCCCATGAAATAGTCCCACTTCTGCCTGAAGTCTCTCCCCCTCTTTTAAGCTCCACCCACTGAATATTTGAAGACCACCGGGTCCCTACTCTGCTGTGTCTTTCTCAGTAAGTATCCCCCGACCCCTCGGGTGGGGAATGGTTTCTCGGCCCTGTTCATCATCCTGGTCTGCTTGGTCTCGATGCACCTGGTCAGTGGGCCAGAAGCTGGGCCTTCCCCTCCCCCCCACCACGGCCTGACCAGCACCAAGGTCGACCGGGCTGCCGCCTCCATTGCCCGGGACTCTGTTGTGTGGTTTATGCAATGGCTGTGTCACCAGCTCATCTTCAGCCTGTAGCAAACTGGGGTCCACGGTCCTCTTTGTAGGAAGGGCTGTAATGCAGCCCCCGCCCTGCTGCGCCCCCCACGGCCAGCCGGCTTCATCACGGACACTGGTTCTGCAGGCACAGCTCCCAGGGGTCACAGCACTGGACAGCAGGTCATCGGGGCCTGGGGACACGAGCTCATCTGAAGTGCCCCCTGCTCTCTGGATGCCTTCTCTCTTGTAGGCTTCTGTGCCCTCAGCCCTGCAGACTCACCACTTTGAAGCTGCAGAGGTGTTTTTCCGGTAAACAGGGGAAAAGAAGGGGGGCATCACTACGTTGCAAGGTTTTAGTCATCCTGAGGTCAGGCCTTCTTTCTCCTTTCAGTGAATGCAGTAACCACATTTCCAGGGAGTGGGTCGCTATACGCAACCGCTCTGTAAGGAAGAAATGACTGTCACGCTTCTTATTGTATAGGCAGAATCAGGAATTGAAGGCTATGGGATTCAAACAGTGTATCCAAGTTCACACAGAAAGAGACGGATTCATGAGTCAAGGTCAGGTCATGTGATTCCAAACCCTGCATGCTTCCCACTACACCAAGCTCAGAGGAGAAGATGTGTTTAGATGGGGCAGGAGGAGATGGAGGGATGGCAAGAAAGACTCATCATTCTGCACACACTGAGAGCCTGTGGTTGAGCTAGCCCAAGCTGAGCAGAGAAGTGAAGCTGAAAGCCTCCGTCTGGGTCCCAGGCCATGTGGACAACGAGGGTGACAGCATGTGAATCAACATGTCAAACAGCCGCATCTCAAGCCCCTGGTGAGAGGGTCTTCACCCACCCCTCCCAAGGCCACTCCCACATTTCTCCATGTCTGCACAGCACCTAGGACCAGTCAGTGTGAAGGACACAGTAGGGCCTGAGGACAGCTGGCCCAACTGTGTTTGGCCCTATGACACTCATTGCTTCACCCCTTGTCCCAAAGTCTAGAACACTGTCCACCACTTCGTGTCCAGCTGTGCCCCTCCATCCCTTGGGCTACTCATACCTGTCTAACCTCATCTATCATCATATTGTGGCTTGGCCTCTCTTCCCAGGCCACTTTTGCTCCTCTAACATTCATTCATTTAAAAGCATTAGGGGCAGGCAGCTGGGTGGCTCAGTTGTTTAAGCAACTACCTTTGGCTCAGATCATGATCCCGGGGTCCTGGGATCGAGCCCCGCATCGGGCTTCCTGCTCAGCGGGGAGTCTGCTTCTCCCTCTGACCCTCCCCCGTCTCATGTGCTCTCTCTCTTTCTCATTCTCTCTCTCTCTCAAAT